GAAGAAACAGTTGTTTCCCTTAGGAAGTTTAATTTAGATCAGGTGAGTACAAGGCTAAACCACTTAAATACAAAATTTATGAGCCAGTGCCCTGCACAAAGCACATGTCTTGCAGGTCAGACCTGGGGACCACTGCTGGGGATGACTTTCATGCCTGCGTTTTAGGAATGACCTCGCAGAGGAGGCCAGCAATCCGCTGTCATGAAGAGGAGTGCCAGGCTGCCATCAGGTTTACAGGGGAAGCTGTGGTGTGACCGGCACGGGACACTGTGCCCACTAAGCACAGGAGCAAATGCAGAGAGCCAGTGGCAGCTGGGTAGGAGGGAGGGACTGATGCTGTAATACCAGACACAGGGAGAGGAGATTGCACAGAGGGAGATCATCCCACTGTCAGGGACCAGGTAGTGTTTCTCATATTCCACGGGTCCAGTGGCACAAAAGCCCCAGAATGGGGAACACAATGAAAATAGACACAGCCAGGCAGAGGCTGCTTACCTGCCGAGTGACCTTGGACAACACTTCAAGCTGGTTGGGCCTCAGTTTTCTCACCAAGGTGAGGAGGGGGTTGGATTTGATCAGTGATTTCCTGAATTTTAGACCAGTCTAGTTAACTTAAAGTTTGGGGGACTAACTTTTCATGCTGCCAAAAAAGAATATTTTAAAAATATCACCATCACTATCAGTTTTAAAAAGAAAGCACATTTCAGTACTAAAAAAGTACGTGAGGCTGGGTGCAGTGGCTCACGCCTGTCATCCCAGCACTTTGGGAGGCCGAGGTAGGCAGATCACAAGGTCAGGAGTTTGAGATCAGCCTGACCAACATGGTGAAACCCCGTCTATACTAAAAATACAAAAATTAGCCAGGCATGGTGGCACATGCCTATAATCTCAGCTACTCAAGAGACTGAGGCAGGAGAATTGCTTGAACCCAGAAGGCGGAGGTTGCAGTGAGCAGAGATCGTGCTACTGCACTCCAGTCTGGGTGACAGAGTGAGACTCCGTCTCAAAAAAAAAAAAAAAGTAGATGAGACATCATCTTAGAATAGTAAGGAGAGGCCTTTAAAGAAATTCGGCTATATGGAAAACACTACCTGATCGTACTTTTCTCATTTCATCAAAGACTCTTGAAAGCTTCATTATGGAGGGAAACTGATTCAAGAATAGATGACTCCAGAGGAGCTTCCTAGCTCCAAAGATTTCAAGATTTGAATCCCACCTGAGCAAATCACCTAACCTTCTATACAATGAGGGTGGCTCAATGAGAGAATATAGATAGGTACTGGGTGTTTCCCCAAGGCTGCAGCATAGTAATAACTCTCAGAGAATGGTGACTGATGTACTCTCTGCAGGTGATGCCTGACACCTGGAAAGAAAGTTATCATTCCTCTTGTTTAGCCGTTCCAATTTCTCCTGTGTCCTGGGGTGCCCAAGAAGCTTCCTCTAGGGATTTCCTGTAGCTGTGAAGGTCTGGGCAGGGTGCTACAGGCAGAAAGCTGGGAGATACCCCCTACTTCTTGCACTGGAGGCAATAAATCACACAGGGGAGGAGCCGCACCTCGCCCTTGCAGCATTTGTAGGTGAAAGTCTTTCAATGGGCCGACACGGTGGCGGTGGCTCATGCCTGTAATCCTAGCACTTTGGGAGGCTGAGGGTGGGGATGGATCACTTGAGATCAGGAGTTCCAGACCAGCCTGACCAACATGGTAATACCCTATCTCTACTAAAAATACAAAAATTAGCCAGGCATAGCGTGTGCCTGTAGTCCCAGTTACACAGGAGGCTGAGGCAGGAGAATCACTTGAACCAAGAGGCAGAGGTTGCAGTGAGCTGAAGATCTTGCCACTGCACTCCAGCCTGGACAACAGAGTGAGACTCAGTCTCAAAAAGATGTCTTTCAATGAACATATGTTAGATTTCACTTCTATCCTCTGAGGTCCAGAGACTCTATGCTTTACACAAAAGAAAGAAGCTGTATGTGCATAGTTTTAATAGACCCCACCCCAGGCTACGGGCTCCAGAATTTCGCAACAGATCAGCCAGGAGGGAAGGGAGGTATTCTTCCCTAGAGCTGTCATTGTGGTGACAGAAACAATTGAGGGAGCAGCTCCCAACCCAGCCCCAGGATCCGGGTCCAGCAGACCCGGAGAGTCTGCCCTGGTTGCACAGACCGTGGTGGGACTGTCTGGCGGAACTGTTGTCTGGAGACAATGCAGCCCATGTGACAAGCCCTAATGAGTCCCTTCTGGAATCCCACAATGGCCAAGTGGCACAGGCTTCCTGAATAGGTCGCTGTTTTTCAGCAGTGACAGGGGCTGTGTTGTGGCAATCTCCTCTCTTATTCTACCTCTGGCAATCTCTCTTCTTTTCCTTTCTTTCTTACCTTTGTCTTTTACCTACTTTAACTCTCCTGTTCCCTTTTGATCTCTTCTTTCTCCTCCATCCTCCTGATTTCTGTTGTTTCTTAGACACAAAATCACCCTTCCTTTCTGCCCTGTGGTTGCCCCATTCCTGGATCACAGAGTTGAACAATTGCTGCAGCATGTATCCCCTCTCCTTCCTGGGGACTGCTTTTATTTATTTATTTATTTATTTATTTATTTATTTATCTGAGACAGAGTCTAACTCTGTTGCCAGGCTGGAATGCAATGTCGTGATCTCAGCTCACTGCAACCTCCACCTCCCTGGTTCAAGTGATTCTCCTGCCTCAGCTTCCTGAGTAGCTGGGATTACAGGCGTGCACCACCACGCCTGGCTAGTTTTTGTACTTTTATTATTTTATTTTATTATTTGAGATGGAGTCTCGCTCTGAGTCTTGCTCTGTCGCCCAGGTTGGAGTGCAGTGGCGCGATCTCGGCTCACTGCAAGCTCCGCCTCCCTGGTTCACACCATTCTCCTGCCTCAGCCTCCCAAGTAGCTGGGACTACAGGTGCCTGCCACCACGTCCGACTAATTTTTTGTATTTTTAGTAGAGACAGGGTTTCAACGTGTTAGTGAGGATGGTTTTGATCTCCTGACCTTGTGATCTGCCCACCTTGGCCTCCCAAAGTGTTGAGATTACAGGTGTGAGCCACCGTGCCCGGCCCCTAATTTTTGTATTTTTAGTAGAGACGGGGTTTTGCCATGCTGGCCAGGCTGGTTTCAAACTCCTGACCTCAAGTGATCCGCCCGCCTTGGCCTCCCAAAGTGCTGGAACACAGAGGAGTGAGCCACGGCGCCTGCCCTGGGGGCTGTTTTTAAATCCTGCTTTCCCTGCTGCTGGGAATGTGGAATAGTCAGCGCATCTCTGTGATTGAAAGGAAAAGCCCCTGTGATATAAGTTAGTTGTGTGTGCTGCCATGCTGTGCCCCTGTATTAAAGTTCTCTAAGCACCAGCAGGATGGCTTCTTTTTCTCTGCCATTATGGAGAACTGGAAAGTTCTGATCTAGAAAGTACGCAGTTGGGTATGTTTGCCTTCCTGCTCTTCCTTCCTTGATTGGCAGTGACAGGGGTCATGGGCAGCAGAGACTGAGCCAATCATGGGCACCGGGGGCCCCTCCCAGCCCAGGCCACACTTTAGGGCATCTCCTGGGTGCCTTCCCTACAGCCTGGCTGGCTGGCTTCAGCTGTGAATCTGTCTGTAAGAAGCCTCACTGCTGGGGAGGGTCTCCTCTGCCGCTGCCAGCTTTCCTTCACCATCCACCCCTCGGCCTGCACTCTCCACCCCCACCTGACCTCTTCAGAACCAGAGCTGTGGAAAAATCAGCCTTGATGAATGGAGATTACAGGGCTCTGTGTGTTACAAAATGTGGTCAGGAAATGCTGAGGGTCCTCCTGAGCTCACTAGTGGATTCCCTAGAGAAGGATAATACAATTGAAGAGGAATTGCAAGGAGCTTTCCAAAGAGAAAGAAGAAAGGCAGCAGTTTCTGTCCAGGAGGGGAGATGTGGCAGAAGACAGAAGCCAGGGCCAGAGCACTGCAGCCACTCCATCAATCTGCAGCTTTCCATCACTTCAGCCCTGGCAGTGACGCTGAGGGGAAGGGAAATCCGAGGCCAGAGAGTGAGAGGACAGAGAGCACAAGAGATTGCCAAGGAAGTTATTGAGAAAAGGGATTTGAGAATCACCAATGTGTTTCAGGCTCCTGGATTGCTCGCCCTTCTTTCTCTGCCTTAATCACGTTTTCTTTGATATCTGTCGTTACGAAACCCAGGTGCAGGATGAAATGTTGAGTGAGGATGGAACAAAGGAAGACCACTGATGAAAATAAGGAAGGCAAAGGGGGCAGGACCTCCCCACACCTCCTTTTATTTTTTAAGAGACAGGGTCTTGCTGTGTCTCCCAGACTGGAGTATAGTGGTGTGATCATAGGTCGCTGCAACTTTGACCTGCTGGGCTCAAGGGATCCTCTTGCTTCAGCCTCCCAAGTTGCTGGGATTACAGACACATACCACCATGCCCAGCTAATTTTTAAATTTTTTATAGAGACATGGTCTCCAACTCCTGGCCTCAAGCAATCCTCCCACCTCAGCCTCCCAAAGCACTGGGATCACAAGTGTGAATCACTGTGCCTGGCCCCCACCTCTTTAGATCCAAACTGGCACCAATCTGGGTGGCAGCTTCAGAATGGCTCTGTGGAGGGGTGAGCCTGGTACCACCCCCAAATGTCTAAGCAATAAACCAGAGGGTAGTTCAGGCTTTCTTGCCCATCGGTGACTCCTGGTACCCCCCACAGCAGCTCAGGTAAAGGTGCTCCACATCTAATGAGCACCAACCCAGTTAAAAAGCCCTGAGCTTTACATTCTCCTAACCCTACAAATCCACTTTACAGTTGAGAAAATTGAGGTGCAGAGAGGCTGCTAAATTTGCCAAAGTGACAAAAGAAAAAATTTGTACCTTGGACAGACGGATGCTTACCCAGTTCCAATGAGAATACTGGAAAGTCAGTGAAGCAAAATACTAAGGAGGGTTGCAGTTATTCTGTATATTTGATTAAGGATAGTCTCATTTAGATCCTCTGAAGGGCTTTAGAATTTAAATAAAAGGCCACCTGAAGCAGAAACAGGAACAGGAACAGGAAGGTAGGAAGGGTGCATAACTGCTCCCCAGTCCCAGGACAACCCCCCTTAGCCAGGACCAGGGGTACGGACCACATCTTTATCTGGACAAAGTTATGTGGGCATTTATTGTCCCAATGTGTGCTCCAACGATCCTCTATCTGTCATCAATCCTCTGTTTTTGCTGCCACCAACACATGATAATCTAATCTGGAAGTAAAAAAAAAAAAAAAAAGCAGTGGAATATCTGTAGAAACAAACATCATGAAATGTCCTGGCTCCCTTCCCAGGGCTTCCATAAAAATGCAGGAAGGAAGAAGCCACAGAGCGGAGTCCACATCAGCAAGTCCTTCCTGAGTCTCCATTAAGTACTCAGGAGAGGACTGTGCAGCTTCAGTGTGGATTGCCAGGTGCTGTTGCAGAGGGGACCCTCCTGGTGGAGGAACAGGCTTAAGGATGAACAGGGGACAGACATGTGTTGAGTATTTGTATTCCTGGATTGTTCTCTTTTCTTTGCCCCCATATTCAACATTTTGACATAACAAACTTTCTTCCTGGCCAGGCACGATGGCTCACTCCTGTAATCCCAGCACTTTGGGAGGCCGAGGCAGGTGGATCACCTGAGATCAGGAGTTTGAGACCAGCCTGGCCAACATGGTGAAACCTCATATCTACTAAAAATACAAAAAATTAGCCAGGCATGGTGGCAGGCACCTGTAATCCCAGCTATTCAGGAGGCTGAGGCAGGAGAATCACTTGAACCTGGGAGGTGGAGGTTGCAGTGAGCCGAGATCACACCACTGCACTCCAGCCTGGGCGACCGAGCGAGACTCTGTCCCCCACCCCCCAAAAAAACCAAACTTTCTTTCTGATTGTTTTAAAACTTCACTGCACTTAAAAACTTGGTTTTGAATTATGGTATAAAGTACAGCTCTAATTTGAGCAACTAGTGACCTGTGTTCTACTCAGGAAGCTGAAGCTGAGAGACAGGGACAGGAGATCTTTCATAGAAGTGAGGAACACAATAGCCAAACAGAAAGTTTATGGTGAGAAACCTGACAGTGAAGTCAGAAACAAAACCATATCTTTTTTTCTTTTACTTTTTCTTTTCTTTCTCTTTCTTTCTTTCTTTTTTCTTTCTTTCTTTCTTTTTCTTTCTTTTTCCTTCCTTCCTTCCTTCTTTCCTTCTTTCTTTCTTCTTTCTTTTTTTTTTTGACATAGGGTCTTGCTATGTTGCCCAAGCCAGTCTCCCACTACTGGGCTCAAGTGATCCACCCCGCCTGGCCTCTGAAAGTGCTGGGATTACAGGCATTAGCCACCATGCCCAATCAAAATAGTTTCTTTAATCAGAAGACTACCTACCCCTTGCTCCTCTACTAAAAATTCTGAAAGGCCAGGCAAGGTGGCTCACACCTATAATCCCAGCACTTTGGGAGGCCAAGGTGGGCAGATCACGAGGTCAAGAGATGGAGACCATCCTGGCCAATATGGTGAAACCCCATCTCTACTAAAAATACAAAAATTAGCTGGGCATGGTGGCGTGCGCCTGTAATCCCAGCTACTGGGGAGGCTGAGGCATGAGAGTCACTTGAACCCAGGAGGCGGAGGTTACAGTGAGCCAAGATCGCACTACTGCACTCCAGCCTGGTGACAGAGTGAGAGTCCATCTCAAAAAAAAAAAAAAAAATTCTGAAAGATGGAAGGAGGTGGAACTATAGGCAGGCTGAAGGCATGCAAAAAGATACAAATGAAAAATAAACTCGAAACATGCTAGCAGAAAGCACACTTGATTTGAAAGATTCTATCTCAGTTTTCTGTGGACCTATTCGTAACACAGAAATATGGTTTCTTTTTTTTTTTTTTCTTTTTTTGAGACGGAGTCTCGCTCCGTCACCCAGGCTGGAGTGCAGTGGCCGGATCTCAGCTCACTGCAAGCTCTGCCTCCCGGGTTTACGCCATTCTCCTGCCTCAGCCTCCCAAGTAGCTGGGACTACAGGCGCCCGCCACGTCGCCCGGCTAGTTTTTTGTATTTTTTAGTAGAGACGGGGTTTCACCGTGTTAGCCAGGATGGTCTCGATCTCCTGACCTCGTGATCCGCCCGTCTTGGCCTCCCAAAGTGCTGGGACTACAGGCTTGAGCCACCGCGCCCGGCCAGAAATATGGTTTCTTAAAATACAGTTTCTGCACTGGTGGGTTGAGTCTCCTCAAAAATGCCTTCCATATTTTCACTGGCCCCTGCTTTAGCATGAACTCATAATTCCTGAACATCATCTCCAAGTGGGCTGGCAGAACTGGAGCAGGCAGGGTGGTTCTGAAACCTAGGGACACCCTTAGTGACACTGAGATTTGGGCACACAGGTGTCAGATTGCAGCTCTTTTTTTTTCTGTCATCCCACCACCTCCCTCAACACACACACACACACATACACACACACACTTCACAGGATCCTATGAAGTGGAACTGTTTTAGAAAACTAGTACTGGTGTTGATTCAAGCAGATTACTAACAAGTTTTCTCTAAAAACGCACACTCAAAATGTTACAGTTCTGTTTGGTGTGGTTTAAACTTTTTTTCTAATAGTTGAATTTTTAAAGAAAGAGGGGTTTTAAATTCCCTTCTGTAGACACTGTTAATCAAGAACAGCCTCTTTTCCCACATGGACTGGCTGGACACAAATGCTCTGGAGTCAGCCTATCTGCATTGATAGGCTTGCTTCCTTACATAATGACTTGCGGAATTATGTAGCCTCAGTTTTCTCACCCGTGAATTGGGAGCTAACAGTTGCATCTGTGAGGCTGAAATGGGATAACTTCTATAAAACCATTTACCATAGTACCAACTCATAGTAAGTATTCATTAAATAGTAGCTATCATGACTTCAAAATAAAAAATACCCCCAAAAAGGCTTATGTAGAGAGATAAAATCTAACACTGTGACATTTATTTATTTATTTATTGAGACACGATCTTCCTCTGTTACCCAGGCTACAGTACAGTGGCATGAACACGGCTCACTGCAGCCTTGACCTCCTGGGCTCCAGGGATCTGCAGCCTCTCAAAGTGCTGAGATTATAGGCCACCACGCCTGGTCCACTATTTGTATTTTCTATACAGGCATACCTTGGAGATATTGTAAGTTCGATTACAGTCTATCACAATAAAGCTAATATTGCAATAAGGTGAGTTGCGTGAATGTTTTGGTTTCCCAGTGCATATAAAAGTTACGTTTGGCCGGGTGTGGTGGTTCATGCCTGTAATCCCAGCACTTTGGGAGACCTAGGCGGGTCAATCACCTGAGGTCAGGAGTTCAAGACTAGCCTGGCCGACATGGTGAAACCCCGCCTCTACTAAAAAATACAAAAATTAGCTGGGCATGGTAGCACATGCCTGTAGTCCCAGCTACTCTGGAGGCTGAGGCAAGAGAATCGCTTGAACCGAGGAGGTAGCGGTTGCAGTGAGCTGAGACTGCACCTGCACTCCAGCCTGGGCGACAGAGCGAGACTCCATCTCAAAAAAAAAAAAAAAAAAAAAATTAACCAGGTGTGGTGGCACACACCTGTTGTCCCAGCTACTCGGGAGACTGAGGCAGGAGAATTGCTTGAACCCAGGGGGTGGGGGTTGCAGTGAGCCGAAATAGTGCCACTTCACTCCAGCCTGGGCAAAAGAAGGAAACTCCAATCCTGTCTCTACTAAAAATACAAAAATTAGCTGGGCGTGGTAGTACACGCCTGTGATCCCAGCTACACGGGAGGCTGAGGTATGAGAATTGCTTGAACCCGGGAGGTGGCGGAGGTTGCAGAGAGCCGAGATCGCACAACTGCACTCCAGCCTGGGCAACTGAACGAGACTCCATCTCAAAAAAAAAAAAAGAAACCACTCTCGTTGCTCATCCATAAGAAGCAACAAAGCAGCTCCCCATCCATTCACGTTCTATCATGAGCTTGTAGCAATTCAGTTACATCTTCAGGTTCCACTTCTAATTCTAGTTCTCTTCCTATTTCCACCACATCTGCAGTTACTTCCTTCACTGTAGTCTTGAACCCCTCAAAGTTATTCATGAGGGTTGGCATAAACTTCTTCTAAACTCTGATTAATGTGAATATTTTGACCTTCTCTTATGAATCTCAAATGTTCTTCATGGGATATAGAATGGTGAATCCTTTCCAGAAGGTTTTCCAGTTGACTTTGCCCAGATCCATTAGAGGAATCACTAAGACCGCTATAGCCTTATGAAATGTGTTTCTTAAACAATAAGACATGAAAGTTAAAATTACTCCTTGGTCTATGACTGCAGAATGGATTCTGTATTAGCAGGCATGAAAACATTTATCTCCTTGAACATCTCCATCAAAGCTCTTGAGTAACCAAGTACATTGTCAATGAGCAGTAATACCTTTAAAGGAATCTTTTTTTTTCTGAGCAGTAGGTCTCAGCAGTGGGCTTTATTCAGTAAACCACCAGGCGCGGTTGTTCACGCCTGTAATCCCAGCACTTTGGGAGGCTGAGGTGGGCGGATCATGAAGTCAGGAGATCGAGACCATCCTGGCCAACGTGGGGAAACCCCGTCTCCACTAAAAATACAAAAATTAGCTGGGTGTGGTGGTGCGTGCCTGTAATCCCATCTACTCAGGAGGCTGAGGCTTGAACCTGGGAGTCGGAGGTTGCAATGAGCTGAGATCACACCACTGCACTCCAGCCTGGTGACAGGGTGAGACTCCTACTCAAAAAACAAACAAACAAACAAACAAACAAAAATTCAGTAAACCATGCTGTAAACAGATATGCTGTCATCCGGGCTTTGTTATGCCATTTACTGAACACAACCAGAGTAGATTTAGCATAATTTCTAACAGCAATAGGATTTTGGAAACAGTAAATGAACACTGGCTTCGACTTAAAGTCACCAGCTGCATTACCTCCTAACAAGAGTCAGCCTGTCCTTTGAAGTTCTGAAGCCAGACATTGACTTATCTATAGCTAGAAAAGTCCTAGATTACATCTTCTTCCAGTAGAAGGCTGTTTTATCTACATTAAAAAATCTATGATTTTAGCTAGATCTTCTGGATGACTTGCTGCAGCTTCCACATCAGCACTTGCTGCTTCACCTTGCACCTTTATGATATGGAGATGGCTTGTTTCCTTAAGTTGAAGCAGCCTCTGCTAGTTTCCAACTGTTCTTTCACTGCTTCCTCACCACCCTCAGCCTTCA